CCTGGCTACCCCTATTAGTGGCAGGGGGGCTGTTTACGACCCCCCCCCCTGATATCTCGAGATCTAACGGGCCGATTTTCAAAATTCAAACGGCATTCAATTTCGCTCAACGTGATCTACATTTCTAAAAAAAAAAAAAATTAAAAAATGTCAATAGGGGGTAGAGGGGGGTAAAAACGGGCAAATTGCAGATACATTTTAGACTGTTTATCACGGCCAGGTTTCTGAACCAATCTTAACGCAACTTTTGCCGATCGATAGAGAATGAACCAGGAATTCACATGGATCCTACAATATGCATTTCAAAAATCATAGGCGGATACAGATAATTGAGATTGGGGGTACACAAAAATTAGTAAATAAGGTTTTTGTTGGTACTGTTTCTAAACCGGCGGCCGCTGGGCCTCCGCGCCACCCGCCGGCCGCTGGGGGGGGGGCATATAGTTGCCCCCCCTTTACTTCCGCGACGATATCGTCGCAACGCGAAGAGATAGAGAAGCGAAACTTTGCACACGTTTTTCTGAATACCTAGCCGAGGTTGTGTCCAAATTTGGTGTCGATCCCATTTGAAATGACGTCACAGTGACGTCATAAGTCAAATTATAGATTTGCGACTCTCAGTTTCCTCACGATACATCAGATGTATGGGACCGAATATAAAGAGCCGATTATTGGTCAGGAACTAGATAGAAGTGTGCTTAGATGTTTAAGGATGACAGCAGGTGCTGTCTAGTTCATTTACAGTTGAGTTTCATGCTCAGCGTCATCAGAAACGGTCCATATCGGAAAACGACAAAGCTTTATGACGTCACTGTGACGTCATCTTTGGTGCTACAACCACCAAACTTTCTCCAAACATTGCCTAGGTATTCATTTGAAGCTATGCCACGTTTCACGTTCGTAGCTCATCAGGTTTCGGAGATATTCCACAAAACGTAAAGGGGGGCAACTTTATGCCCCCCCCCCCCAGCGGCTCGTGGGTAAAAAGGGTGGTAATGGTCTTGTTATGTTACAATTTTCTTATGAGAGAACGACTACAATTGTATTGGTCATGCATAGGCGGTGTCAGGGCACCTATGTTGGGAGGTAAAACATAACCCCCCTTTTTGGACGCCTGGATCCGCCTATTATAGCAAAAACGTGTCAAAAGAGGATGAACAATAACTTTGTATATGTTATCACATGATACCTTTCATTCACTGTTCGTAAAACTGGTGCATACAGTTATAATAGCATCGTGATATTCGCCCAAATAACTCGCTTCACGAATAGGACCCCCCAATTCCCAGTGCTCTGGAGCCGCCCCTGGTAAAGTTATGAACTTGAAATTTTCAGGGAATGTGCCCAATTTAGTTTTAGGAAAAGTCAAAAAATTTCAGCATCGTAGCTTCAGCGGTTTCGGAGATATTCCCGAAAAACCTGAGTGGTGGATGAAAACAACCCCCCCCCCCTGCCACTAATAGGGTTGACAGAGGAAGTGTCGAAGTCAGCTCCAGATCCATGGGGGGGGATTGAAAAGGTATTGATTTAGGGTACCCACGCGTCCTCTCTGTCCCACACAACTTATTCAACTGGTGGCGGCTTCCTCCGCCAGACAATCCCTCTCAGGAATCTCATGTGTCGCGCGCCAAGGTGACTCGAACTCGGTCTCTCACTGCCGGGAGTTCAACACTCTACCTACTGAGCTGGAAGACGAACAGGCTTCAAAAATAGATGACCAAACTATTTGGAACGAGTTCGCTTCTTCGCGCAGCGCATTCCTTCTTCGTCAGTCAGATTTGTTTCTACTTTCTAACCAACTTTTTGACCAAAAGTAGTATAGTTCTGAGCATTACATGCGTTATTTATTCATCACAAGGCAGCATGCTGACGGCATGACGAAAGCCACTGCTGTGAAGGAAATTGCATCCCGCAATCAGCTCACCAGTCGGCTCTTCTCGTCAGTTCCTTTACGGATCTAGAATATACCAGCAGAGGAGTGGCATAGAGATGCCTCAAGAAAGCCATTCAGTTACTACGCTAGAAATGATTGGATCATATCTCACGCTAAATAGCTTTCAAGAATATATTTTTTCTGAAAACATGCTGTGCGTTGGCAGAAATGCACCGCAATGCAAAAACATTATTAAAGAAGAAATGCAGAAAACAATGATGAAGCTGGCTACGCTCGTTGTACTATGCGTAAACTATAAAATCTTTTGATTTTGTGTCATTGTCGCAGCTCAGTTGTTGAGCATCTGAACATCATTAAAAGATATGTTTTGATACCCTCTTAGTTTTTAGATCGGGAATCAACGAGGAATAGTAAAAAGCGATTTTTACTGTCATAAATGTTTTAAGCAGCCCAAGACTAAAAAAAATGTAAAGCAGTGGCAGAGGCCAGAGCATGGGGCTTCTGATGTTGAGAAGCAAGGTTCATGAATCGTACCGTCGCTCGGTCCACGAGACTACTGACGAGAACGAGCTGCGGTTTGGCCTTACATAACCGATGAAAACTCGACGCCTGCTTTGAATATAAATACCCGCTCACGGTCAATCCCAGCCCCACACCCCGCCCAACAAAATTCAATGCTGGGCATTATTCGGTGGCAGGGACGGTTGAATTTCACTCACTTTGCCTCCAAAGCCAGTGCGAAGACGCCGGCGGCCTCAGGCGCGGCGGCCGACGTGCCAGAGTGGGTCTTGGTGCATTGGCCGTACAGGTCAGTGGTGGCCTGGGGGTACACAGGGTCAGGTTAGACAGGGTCAAATCAACAGCAGTCTGGCGAAGGTCAGCTTGGGTGTGTGGAGGCGATCAGACGGTCAGTCCAGCTCAGGTGAACAGTTTCGCTCTGGCTAAGAAACGAATGGTCCTCAGTGCTGATAAGAAGGCCAGTACAGGGCATTGGAAGGCCCCAATGAGACAGCTGGTCTGACTAGAGGAGAAAGAACCGGTTGGCTGGGTCTTTTTTTACAATCACTGCAAAGCGTTTATCATTCAATACACCACGCATGTACGATGTGCATAGACATGGATAGCATCGTCACGGTGCATACTAAACGAGTGGGAAAATATTACCAGTAAAACGCCTTTTGGGCGAAGAACGAGCGAGCGAGATAGTGAGGCCTGCACGTGCGGAAGGGCGAGAGGGTACTTCCAACGGGCTTGCGCAAAGCACCCTTCTAACCGGTCGCTAGCGGTGTACCAAATTTGAACTCAATCGGCCCAGCCACTCCTGAGATCTGGAAGCGGCATTCTGCACGTGCGCACGTGCAAACGGGGTCCAAACTGACTTTTGCACGGCACCCTACTAACCGGTCCCCAACCGTGTACCAAATTTGAGCGCAATCGGTCCAGCCGTTCTCGAGATCTGGAAACGCCCCCTGCACGTGCGCACGTGCAGTAGCACCTTAACCAAAACACATGGGAATGCATTGTCTGGTGGGTGCCTACTTGTAAGCCAAGTTTCAGCGAAATCGCCCCAGTAATTACCGAGTTATTAAAATGGGAACAAATTTGACAACTCTTATTGTTGTATTTTGCACGTGCACTGGGGGTGACCCACATGCATCGAGAGTATCCTATTTTTGGTAGAAGGGATGCTGCTACCCTATAAAAATTACCGAAAGCCAATCGCCCAAGCGGCTGCTGAGATATGAACCTCTCAAAATCACTACTTTTGCAAAACAGCTTGAACACCCTTGACTTTTCACGTGGCACGTGCCACGACGGTCACTGAGATGTATCAAAAGTAGTCAATTACGGGGTAGAAGGGATGGGGCTACCCAACAAAAAAGACCGCAGGCCAATCGGTCCAGCGGTTGCTGAGATATAAGCCTCTCAAAAGCGTTACAGGCCGGGCCGGGCCGGGCCGGGCCGCTCATACTGAGATTTTTCCGTTATATTGAAAAGACTCACTTCGCTCGCTGCGCTCGCTCGCTCGTGTTCTATTGATTTGCATGTCAGCCGCTCGATGTGCACTGAAGAATGCCTTAGTGGTGATAAGCCCCTGACGTCACGAACTGGCAACTGATTGTGTTCTTCCGCTATCCGTCTTCACTCACCACGCCCGTGGTGGGGTCCTTGGCGCCGTTGGAGAAGGTGGACGCGATGGTGGACGAGCAGCTCTCGTCGTAGTGGGCGTTCTCGCCGTCGTTGATGGCCGAGTTGATGGAGATGGTCCACATGCTGGCCGCGTAGCCGTCGCAGTTGCAGTCATCGTCCTCGCCGCCGTCCCCGGATGCCCAGACGTAGATGTTGCCCAGACCGTGGCGGCCCTGCGGCACGGAACAGAGAGGGTCGGAGAGGCTCAGTGAGGTTCGTAGATGTTCAGAAACGGCTTAGAGAGGGCGAGGCTCAGTGAGGTTCAGCAGCGAGCAGACTCCCAGTGGGTTTACAGAGGTTTAGTGAGGTTCAGTGAGGTTCAGTGAGGATCATGGAGACTCAATGAGGGTCGCAGAGGATCAGTGAGGTTTTGTGGTGTCCACAAAGGTTCAGTATAGTCCAATAGAGGCTCAGAAAGTTCGCACGTTTTTGGGGCTCATAATGAAAAATACGAAGGTAACTACGGAGATATCACATTTTTACGGTGTATACCGTGTATGTACATACCTACCAATTGTCACAGCCGATGTTTGCTGTTAATTAATTGTTTTAATGTACGCAATTTCCTCTACCATACATTAGCGTACCTTGTCGCGCAATTATCAATGCACGCTATAGCACGCTGTCAGCCATGCCTGGATATTGCTATGACAAACAAGGGTCGCGTCCGCTATGCTCCAGCCATATTAACGTAGTTGTTCATATCACGAAGCCATACTGAGAGCCTCGGCACCTCCGCTGTGGCACTCGAGTTCAGAGGGTCTGCTGGCACTCCGGGGTCGCCCGCTGGTGATGACACTCAGGTCACACGGGTCACCAATTTCCTGTCGCTGGGCAGACCGTCCCGAGGGGCATGCAGTCGCCGCTGGAGCGTGGATGCTATGCATAATATCAGCGTCGGCTCATGCCCTGAGAATCCAGGTGCCCTGGTGGACTGTTAGGAGAGATAATGATGGATTGCAGCCATGTAATGCTGAGCCTGAAACAGGAACCAATTTGGATGGCATTGAGCAATGAGCGCCAATTTGCTTCATCAGGCAATTGAGCTCTCTATTATGTATCATTGGTGTTGAATGCATAATAATATTGAACGAGCAGTTTCTTCCTGAACGAAAAGAATCCGTCGTCGGCTGCCCCGCTTCGTATGCGCGCCCTCCCCGTCCCGTTGACTAGCCTTCTCCCCGCCTTCTTTGACGCCCCTGTCTCAAGTCATTGAGGTTCCGCTTTCACTTCGCTAATTCCGCGTCTCTCCCCATTGACGTTCCTGTCCTGTCCTGTTTGAAGCCCCTGCTCCGCCCCGTTGGCATCCCCTTCTCGCCCCGTTACCACCTCTGTCTCAACCTGTTGACATCACTCTTTCACCCGTTTACACCCCTGTCTTATCCTGTTAACGCCCCCTATCTCACCCCGTTGTCACCCCTGTCTCACCCCGTTGTCGCCCCTGTCTCACCTCGTTTACACCGCGAACGATGGCGCGCATGGTGGCGTTACGCGGACCGTCCACCGTTTCACCGTCGTCAGTCGGGCCCCAAGAGGCCGAGTAGATGTCGATTAGGTTCGGCTCGTGACCCATACTGTTGGCCTCGATCAGATCCGTCATATACGGCTGGTCCAGCATACGGATCCCTGCGAACACACGCACGGAAATACACAGACGTTAGGCACACATAAGAGGCGATTTACTGGAGTTGCTTACTAGATGAGATTTGCCTTAGAAAAGGAAAGGCGCCAGAGGAGAGGACAACTTTAAAATAAAACTTTCCGTCAATAATTATAGTCTAGCTAGTACGTATATTCACCTGCATATCGCTTTTTAATTTTCACTGATCAGGGCAAAATACACTGCCATTACATAGCTAAGGGCTGTCAAGCATATATTTGTCCTTCCAAGGAAAGCGATAAATAAACCTCAAGAGTTCCACCGGGCATTGCTTTACTCCGTGTCAGTTGAGCCGGTTATCTGAAATGGCATGCGACTGGCTCTAAACTAAGCTCTGCTGGCAGGGAGGGCGAGCTGGCTGGTTAATTTCACGGTACAGCGCACCGGTGACTAAGGCCAAATGCTGGGGACCGACGTCCCTGGCTAGCGGCTGAATACTGGGGACGTAGACCGACATCCCTGGCTAAAGATGGAATTCTGCGGACCGGGACCGATGTCCCTGGCTGGTGGCTGAATATTGAGGACCTGAACCTGAGAGTAGGGCGGTGCTCTGGCCTCATGGTGGCTGAGATTGGTATAGGGTAGGGCGAGGATAGGACCGCGGTCTGGCTGAGATTGGTAGTGGACTGCTGAGTAGGTGACCGGGGCCGCGGCCCGGCTGAGATTGGTGTAGGGTAGAGCGAGGACTGGGGCCGCGGTCTGACGGCGACTGCGGGTCCATGGTCCGGCTGAGATTGGTGTCTGACCAACTCCTAAAGGTAGGGTGGGGCAGGATCGCCGTTGGCTGAAGTTCGTCACTGGCTAGGCTGAGGGTAGAGTGGGGACCGCGCCGTGTTCTGTCTTGACCAGGACCGCATTTGGACCGATTGGTAACCGATTACTGACCTGCCACCCGAGAGTTGTAGGCGATACCGACTCCGCAAACCCCGTTGTCACGTGCGGCCGACACCTCGCCGGCACACCGGGTCCCGTGGCTACGAGAAAAACAAACATGGAGCAGCGGTTAGGTGATTCAATGTCATAACATTCAACTGTCGTGATATTGTTGAGCTAAGTCAAAACATGCACAAGAGCCTTAGCCGTGCGCCTCAGTGATAATTCGGCTGCATGCGTGAATAATGGAGGAGCGACGGATCGTTTCTACTCTAGGAATCAAAGGCTGTTTACGAGCGAGCGAGCGCAGCGAGCGAAGCGAGTCTTTTCAATATAACGGAAAAATCTCAGTATGAGCGGCCCGGCCCGGCCCGGCCTGTAACGCTTTTGAGAGGCTTATATCTCAGCAACCGCTGGACCGATTGGCCTGCGGTCTTTTTTTGCTGGGTAGCCCCATCCCTTCTACCCCGTAATTGACTACTTTTGATACACCTCAGTGACCGTCGTGGCACGTGCCACGTGAAAAGTCAAGGGTGTTCGAGCTGTTTTGCAAAAGTAGTGATTTTGAGAGGCTCATATCTCAGCAGCCGCTTGGGCGATTGACTTGCGGTAATTTTTGTAGGGTAGAAGCATCCCTTCTACCAAAAATAGGATAATCTCGTTTCATGTGGGTCACCCCCAGTGCACGTGCAAAATACAACAATAAGAGGTGTCAAATTTGTTCCCATTTTAATAACTCGGTAATTACTGGGGCGATTTCGCTGAAACTTGGCATACAGGTAGGCACCCACCAGGCAATGCATTCCCATGTGTTGCGGTTAAGGTGCTACTGCACGTGCGCACGTGCAGGGGGCGCTTCCAGATCTCGAGAACGGCTGGACCGATTGCGCTCAAATTTGGTACACGGCTGGGGACCAGTTAGTAGGGTGCCGTGCAAAAGTCAGTTTGGACCCCGTTGCACGTGCGCACGTGCAGAGTGCCGCTTCCAGATCTCAGGAACGACTGGGCCGATTGCGTTCAAATTTGGTACACCGCTAGCGACCGGTTAGAGGGGTGCTTTGCGCAAGCCCGTTGGAAGTACCCTCTCGCCCTTTCGCACGTGCAGGGCTCACTATCTCGCTCGCTCGTTCTTCGCCCAAAAGGCGTTTTACTGGTTATATCATTGAAGAAAAAAAGTTTTTGACAAAAAAACCCTCGGTGAATATTTTATTGACGTTTCAACTTCATCTTATGCTATGAGCAAAAGAAGTATAAATTTATAAATTACTTTTAGTAAGAGTCATGCTAAAAGAAACGTAACACATAAAAACGCGCTGGCGTCCTTGTCGCGCAGATTATTCTCACACTTTCTGAGGAATTTTCCACACATGTGGCTACGAGCGTGATACTATGAACACTCGTGATATATGGTGTTCGCGGGAATGTTACGTAGGCACACGTACAGGTTGGCACGGCTAATGATCTGGCTCACGAATGAGGCCTTATGCAAGCATAGATCGAATGGATATCATACATATCGTATGTTATGGACATTGCGCCATACCTATTACATGTGCGAACATAAGCGTATGGATAGTTTCAGCTATGGCTGGAAAACAGGTTTAACCTTCGCCCCAGTGGGGGGGGGCATATGTTACCACCCTGTCGCGTTTTTTTTTTGCGTGTAAATAAAAAACTGCGGCGCGTAGCGCCGCGCCGGTTGGGGTAGCTTTTGGTACATCAATTTTGGACAATGTGTGACATTTTTGACCCCAGGTCATGTCAGGTCAGGTCACCAGGTCAAGTTAACTGACCAAGCCTAAAAAAAAAGTTTGCAATCATGTCCAGCCTGCAGTGTTTGTCAGAAAGGTTTGAAACTTGGTGGATTGCATGCTGTTATGGGCGCCTACAATTTGTATACCTCGGATTTTTTATATCCGTGACCTAAGGTCAGGTCAGTGGCGTGACCTTTCCATTACAAGTCAATGGAGAAAAATGAAAATGCCTCTAGATCCGTGTGTACGCATAGGAACAGTCCAAATATTTCAGAATCACAATGATTTAGTCCACTCGTGATGACCAATGTGTCTTTTTTGCTGATAGCCTCTAGAAAGGTCATCCGAGGTCATTTGAGGCTACAAACAGTCTTTTGCCAATAACTCGCGATTGGAAAGAGATAGAACACTGGGAATGGTCTAATTGTGTTTGTCTTATTGAGACGCATCGACTGATATGCAACATGACCTTTTCCGGTCAGGTCATGACCTTGACCTGAGGTCAAATTTTCAAGTTGACCTTTCAAGGTCAAATTATAGTTCATTCGACGCGTTCCGGCGAGGGGAACACGATTCTGGCAATAGAAATGTCGTGGCTTTTTGTAGTCGAAAGTTATTGTCGAAAAACACTTTTCGTAAAAACAGCTATTTTTGGAGTTTTTGCCTTCTGGAGGCTAAACCGTTGACCTGAGGTCAATATTGATAGGGACCTTTTCAAAAGAAGAGTTCAAAAGCTATCGATTGCACTTCCATGCGTTTTTCGAGCTACCATAGTTCCTGAGATAGCGGCATGTTTTCTGAAAAATATAATGACACTTGGCAAATTTTGACCTTTGATAACCTCTGGTGACCCCAACATTGCTCTAAGGTGAAAAATGACCGAAATACTTTCAAACGTACGCATTGAGAGCTATCGACTGCTTTTTACCGCGTCTTTCTAGCCCTCTTAGTTTTTGAGTTAGAGGTGGGTGGTAACATATGCCCCCCCCCCCCTAGGGCGAAGTTGGCTGAGACCGCCACTGGGGCGCGGGTTAAGCGGTGTTGAAATACCAGCTGAAATATTGCGCGCTGAAATAAGGAGCGTATGGTGTAGAATTAGGTGTTTGAATCGAGCTTGCGGCTGCTTCGGTTTGCTCAGTCACTGCCTCAAAAATAAGGCTGATCCTGAGTAACGAGAGGTCATTGAATCAGGACCAGATGCCCCTTGAGCTTGGTGACCCCAGCTGCCTGCCGGTTAACGTCCGGCTCAAGCCACGAGGGAAATCGCTGGAGAACGGGTCAGTATAGGTAATCCCGTGAACTGAAAGGAGATTGGACATCATAAAACACCAAACGATCGCCATTATTCGGGTTTAGGAAAGAACTTTCCGTCATAAAAAGCACCATTGCGCTTTATACCAAATCCAAATGTGGTATAAATCGTGACCATAGGCGGCAGCCAGCACATTGGGATGGGCATGGTGGCCGGGAGAGAGAGAGAGGGGGTAATGAGGTGATGTGTTACGCCCAGGGGAGCGCGGGGGGGGGGCTGCCGCGGTGTTGCCAGATGCCTGGCGAGGGATGATTTATAGTCCAGCTATCGGCAGAGCCCGCGCTCCACGGCGCTATCGGCACTCCAGCCACCATATTTAGTGCATTGTTGACGCACAGCTCGCAGAAATATATGATGTCGGTGGCCCCGACGCAGCGCCTACGTCGTCAGATGACAGGGTACTTTGGTATGAAATGTTGCGGCTAGGATTGAGCTGATAACTATAACGTGTGTCTCCTAAATCTTAAATAAATTTCAAATGAATCTTAAATAAAATCTTAAACGTGGACCGCACCGCTCAGCCTTTCTATATGAAATATCACCAATACGCACTTTAATGTAATTGAGTGTTCGAATACGAGATACGAGATCCTACTCAGGTAGGCGAGGCGGCATACAGCCATGAGGGTTTGAAGTGCAAGCTATGCGAACTGTTTCGGTCAGTTACATAAGATAATTACAAACGAGCAGCACAAGGTATCCTTCTCAGTTTTGTTCATTAGCAGTAGTGCAAACACATCAAAAACTTCTCAGTGCTCATTCATCATAATTTGAGTTGCCCTTTGCAATATTCGTATCAGGTTTGTTTCTTATCTTACTTACTCTCCAGGGCTTTTGAACACAATGGTTGATAGTGTATTTACTTCGTGCTGTAAAAGGTAACGAATAATCCAACATGTTTTTAAACTCTAATCGGATTGACTTTAGGTCAAACTACTGCAAAACCTAGATTGCTTTCATTGATGGAATTAACTGCTCGCAAACATAGCAATTGTTGAAATTGCTTTTGATTATTGATATGTTTTCGAGGATAATAAAGCATTCGTTTCGTGCGGGTTTATGCCAAGGAACGGACGCCGTTCACAATTTTTGCGCTACATTTGTAAATGGTTTCTCGGGGGCCCATTGCCAACAGATTAAGGGGCCGAGTTACAGCTTTGAACGCATTATTTTAGGAAATAAAAGGAGTGTGTTTGTAAGGGAGTCAATGGTTAAAATAAAAAGCAACGATGTTTTAACCCGGCAGTTGCTGGGGTATTTCGCCACCCACCGTTTGCTGGGGGGGGGGCGTTAAACGCCCCCGCCGATAACTCGAGAACCAATAGGCGCAGCGAAACGCACGAGGCGGCAAACGAAAGAGCGCGACGAGACGCTTCAGATGAGTACTTTAAAGTTGAATTTTGAGGTCACAGGTCGGGTCAAGGTCAGGTCAAACACCTGAAATCGGGCTTTCAGTAGCATGGACTTCAGGACTTCGCAATGGGCGCCGCTCGCCATAAACTCTGTCTAAACGGTGCACAATCCATCTTATAAGGCCTACAAGAGTGTCAGCTCCATGTAGGGGTCAGTCAAGCATAGGTCAGGGTCAAGGTCAGGTCAACCGGGTAGGCACATATCCCCGAAAATCAAAACTGATACTCGCAGCCTGTGACACATGTTTTATAGGTAATTTGGGGCGTAGAACACGATGGTGACATTCATCTTATCATATGTGTACGTGTTCGGCTCAAAAAGTTCAATTTAAGAAATTCATGTATCATGGCCGTGAAGTAGTCACGAAAAATTGCCAAGATTCAGTTCAAGATTATGGAAAATGCGGAACGATAATCAATAATCGAAGATAGCCATTTGATTGACCATGGTATTGGCAGTCTAATGGCGTTTACGGCATGTCTGTATGTCTATTCTGTGATTTTATATGATTTTTTTTAACATATGCCGTTTTTGGTCGAAAACTCAGAAATCATGACGTCACTAAAACCTCGATATCTCAAAAATTTTCCGACCGATTTTTTTGAATCATTGTCACAATAAACTTCAATCCATTTCCTACAGGTAACCAAAATTTGGCGCGCCTGCGGCGCGCCGTTTTTATGCTATGGCCCGGCGAAAAAAGTGGGGGCGTTTAACGCCCCCCCCCCAGCAACTCGCGGGTTAATGAAACGTTCACTATGTACTGAAGTGGGCGAATCCTTCTTGAACAAACAGCTAGCTTGCGAGAAGAATTAAGCACTGACAACGAGCAGCAGTGCAAGATGACATATATGTTCCCACCATCAGTGCCGCGGAGTCCAGGAAGATGTGTCTTTTTTACTCATGTGATTACGTTAAATCGATAAGAGCTTTATCAGTATATGTTGCAAGAAGTAAAAATCCATTGCGGTAAGAATTGCTGTGTAGCGTATATTTTTTATACTAACGAGTGCTTTTGACAGTCTTGAGCGCCCTCAAACTCGTTAATTATTCGCTAATGTGCTACTTCGACAGGTGATATCAGAATTTTCGAAAACTGAGCCAAAACTGGCAATTTTGCAAGAGAATGACTGAAGCAGTGCTCTTAAGTGAATGGGAAATTCGTTGAGCTTGCATGTAGATTTTTTAACACGTGCATAGTTATTCTAGTCCAGGTTTGAAATGGGCTGGAGCTCTGATATCATCTGTATGGAACAATCCAATGTTATGAAATAACTATATAAATGGCACCAGCAGATCGATAGGAGCATGCTCTTGCGTCATCAAACAACCAGCAGCCTCTGTTTCTATGGTTACAAAATTAGACCCAGGTGGGCTTCTGTGACGCGGGACTATTTGCAGAGCCGGTTCAACGACTGCCTATCGATGGCCGAGTGCCTTATCACATCGGTGAAGGCTGAAACAGACCCTTTCGGCAGTCAAGTAATCGCATGCGAGAGCCTATTCGAATACATTAGCTCTCGCTTGCATCAGTCGCTCGCTCGGAGAATGGAGATGCGTGTGATTAACGTGAGCAGTAGCTTCGGGTTTGAATAGGCTCTGGCATGCGATTTCAAGACTGCTGAAAGAGTGTTTCCGGCTTAGAGCTGGAGAAATCGGGGTGACAGAGCTGATGTCAAGCATGAACGAGAAATGGATTTGAATTTATTGTCGTCCCGATTTAATACTATAGGTTGTTAATTGTCATTCACAGAAGTGAATTGCTAAACTAAAATGAACGACTGCTGGTCACGAAGTACCACGTGCAACGAAGTACTACGTGCAACTGCTGACCAGCATAGACATTTGACACCCATGGGTCGCTGACCGATTTGCGGGACTAGCTTAGAAGGCCCCTGCCTTTACTTGAGAGAAGCTAGCCGGTGAGCTGAGAGATGGACTCACCTGTTAAACCAGTCGTCGGTGTATCGCGGATATGGAAACGGGTCGTTACTGCTAAAATCGTAACTAGCCTCGGCATTCTGAAACAGAGGGGCCGCATTCATTCATTACAGTCGGTGAGAGGTCAAGGTTCGAAAATTAGTTTATGGTGATGCTTTCCGGTAATATGAACTTTTCCGGTTGAGCAATGAGCATGTCAAATGTTGTTTTATGGAGATGTGGACAATGCATTTCGAAACAGTGCTCACGAAACAGTGCTCACGGCGTAATACCGCTAGCAGTACCGTTTGTATGTAATCTGGAAACTAGGGAGAGGCGGAAATCCGCCTCGTCATAGCACTAGCTAAATTTAAGCATACTCGTAATTTCTCTGACATTACCAGCAATGCCTCACCAACATCAATCACATAATTGGTAAGGGCAAAAACAATGCATTGGAGAAGCCTTTTCACGCTCCAAAATGTGAGAAGACTTAACGACAAGAAAATATACTCTTTAGAAAAAATGCACAAAAGAAGAACATGGAAACCTGTTGTTATGTAAAACTGCACCAGTATAGTGTGCACTACTCAATTATATCTGTCCTCACATTCTTATTACAACGAACTCGTTTGTTAGAATATGTGCTATTTTAATTAAACATTACATTTAATTCCCGTGATTGCAGAAATCAATCACTGAGCGACACAGTCGGCGTTCACAGGGAAGCCTCATGCCAATGAGTGGTGATTCTGAAACTAGATGGCTTCAACAGTCGTCACGGGCACTCGGTACCCATTACTAGTTAGCAAAGCACTCCCGTGTGTAGTACACACAAACCGCTTTCACGACGGGCTATCCGGCGAATGCCCCTGATTTGACCAAATCTGCACCTAATTTCTTTTACAGCAAATACCTTCATTTTATGAATTTATTTCAGTGTTTTAATCGATGGTGCTCTCTGACAATATGACAAAGCAGGCATATAAGCAATTAGTGCAACCCTAGCTGATAGCTGCTAAGAGACAAACCGAGCCTGATTTGACCAAATCTGCACCTAATCTGTACCAGATGTGCACCAAATGTGTACCAGGTGGCCGTCGTGAAAACGGCTACAGGCGACCCCCTTCGCTGCTCACGAAACAGCTTTTCCCGTTACTCACGAAGCCCCCTCCTCCCTCCGGTACTCACAAAGCGCTCCCGCAGGTCGGGGTGCATGTAGTCGACGCCGTCATCCATGATGGCAGTGGTGACGTTCCTGCCCGTGATGCCCTGCGCCCAGGCCGCTTCCACGTTCAGGTCCAGCTTGGGCTTGCCGCCATTTTGACCCGTGTTTTTCTGCAGCACAGAGCACGGAATTCACATGTAACAAGTAAAATAACAGGTGGAAGATAGCGCAAAATGATACTCTAGTTACGTTATTGGATATAACATTGTTTTAAAATAGTAGAACAACTCTGCGGTCATTGCGTCGAAAGGTAGGCTGGTTGTGTGGAAATTGCAGAGAAACATGAGCTTCTTTGGCTAGCTAAAACTATTTTGCACTGAAACGGGATCCGCTTGAAGCGTTGAAGAGCAATTTAAGCCAGATGGGTATAGGATAATATGACTTAAACAACCAGACGGGAGATGAGGATGTCGCCGCACAACTGAAACAGCTCCGTACGGGTTTAGCTATCACTGCGGATGGAGTGTCAAAGTTCGGCACACTGGTCCATTAGAGCGCGGTGTTTGACGCCCTCGGCCAGAGGTTATCTGGAAAGCCCTGTCGCTGATTTGAGAGTGGGCGCACTCAGCGACAGGTCAACGCGCTCGCATTATCCTCGACTAAAACTTCCGAGGAAGCGTTCAACTATTTGGGGATCTCACCACTGGCTAAATGACGATATGCCTTGGGTAGCATAAGATTATCCTGCTACTTTGTGACCCATATTATCTGCGGACGCTTGCATTGCAGTGAACTTCCAGAAATGTGACGATATTTGTTAATAAAAGTACGGCTACTTAGACTCGGAAGGTACAACTCGATCGTATTTTTCACCATTTTCACTGTATAAATCAGGCAAACGACTGACCATTATTCTAGCTTTCCCTCCTCGGAGTTGCATAATACATAAGCCACCAGTTCAGCATGTATTTGAAACCCAATTCCGCTAAGAGCGTTTAGCGAAAACTGTCGCGCTAACGACTACTGGCATTGCAGGGGCAGGCATGTCGCACTCAGACACATGCAAATGACTTGGTTGTTTTGCTTGCTAAGTACTTTTCGTGACTCGAAGTCAGTAAAAACAAGCTTGTGTGCCTTTTAGTCAAGTACAACCAGCAGCCGAGCGAAAAAAAGTAGACCCCATCACCGCATTTCACAATATCCGCCTTGGGGTACTTACCAAATACCACTGGTACTTGAAGAACGGGTCGGTGGGGTCTTTGTGCGGTTCCAACTCCACCAGATTCTCGACTCGCAGTGGTTTGTACCCCCGCCGCTGCCGGAGCGGCCGGAAGCCGCGCTTCTGACGGCTAAAGCCAGTCTGCTGGACTACCCGGCGAACCTGGTGTGAGAGAAAGTGAAAGGATCAGATAGGGGCCACGCTGCGGACCTGGTATGGGAGGGAGTGCACGCATCAAGTCAGATAGTTATAGGGGAGGTATTGGACCAACCTGATATGAGTGCGGGTACATACACGCATATCCAGATAAGGATATGTTGGATCACCCTGCAGACCTGAGGTAGGGAAAGGTGCAAGTAAATTCACATACAGAGAACGGCACCAATAGAAAACGAAGAAAATAAGCGTCCACTAAAATGGAAAGGAACTTGAGTACAAAGATGCGCGTTATTTGAAGAAAGCACATAGTTTGGGTACTTATGTCCAATCAGCATTTAAACTAATCCATTGTTTTGAGCCCTTTGATTGGATTTTTCAGATTTTGAATGTCCAGTTGACAACAACAAAAAATAGAATTTGACGAAAACAAATGATAGATACTTTCATGGGTGATTAACCTTTTTGTTCTAATGAGCTGCTCGTGAGTCCGACTCGTGGCCATTCGTCTCAGAATCCGACAATTTTCCACCAGGCAACGGCTCCAGGTCCTGGGAGCCTATTTTGCTCGTATAAACCACATTTAGCCGTTTGACTTCAGGCACTCATTTGATGACCCCTCATGGAACCATCATGAAATGCCCTAATTCGACATCATCCATGCAGATGGATACGATCACCAGCCTAGTAAATGGTCGGTGGAACAGTTTCGCTAATGTCTTCATTACGGTCTCGATTACTACTTCTCCTGAAGGAAGGGTCTGTCTCCTGAGGGAAGGGTATGTTCAATCGACAGCGATTCTCGGGACAGACACTGGCGGGAACTGTCGCCGCCACGTTCCGGTCGATTGGTGGTCGATCGTCGGCTAGAAGCCGCCCCAAAGGGAGATAGCTTCCGGGACAGGGAGATATTAATGGCTGGTAAACGATGGCTTAGGTTCTTATCAGAAGAGGTTTGCATGCGTACTTACAGACATGGTTGTATGGATAGAGATGATGACACAAAAAAAAAAACAATTTTTTAGCAGGGGCTGCCTCGCCACGGATAGGAAGCACTTTTCATATTTTCTAGACTCGGATATTGGTCTGTTGTTTTCCTAAGCATACAGATGAGTAAAGACGGCGATATCTCAAATCCGTGAAGAAATAAGCCATTTTTTAGACAGCGGCCGACAAAAGGCGGTGAAGAGGTGAAAAAACTATGCGAAGTAGGTACAGGTCTCGCGGGTTTTAAGCGTAGGTTTTACCTTTCCGGCTATATCTTTTTCGTCTTCAGCTTTGTAGGCTTGAAGATGTGACCGATTTATTCGTTTAACTCCCTTTCATGATCATGGAAAAAGGTTTGATCGTATGCCGGCTAGTTTCGGAGAAATTAAAGGAAAACTTCAAAATTCGCCGTTTGGGGCATTCTGACCGCGGGTTCCCTGCAGTCGCCTATGATTACAGTGGCGCCACCCGACGAGTAGGAGGCTGAAACACAGAGGCATGAATGAATCCAGCGCGTGGTGAACGGTGGATAGAGGCGGGACTCGGCAGAGGCTATCACTGCGGCCCGCGCAGGGCGTCCTTGGACAGCGGGCGAGCCTTCGGGCGGTGAGGCCAGAGGTCACGACAGCCAGGCTCTGTTTGGCATGAAGGGAGGGGAGGCACTCGCCTCAGCCAACTCAGCCGGTTTGGTGGTAGTGGTGGTGGTGGTGTGTGTGGGGGGGGGAGGCGGCAGGCGAGAGGGGCTAGAACAAATGGGATGAAATAGAATGGAAATGTTGTGCCATGGTCAACTTACAATATTGTTTACCTTATCATTTATTAACATTACGAAAGAACCCACCATATTAAATTGAGAAATATTCTACAGGAAATGTTATTTTTCGATGTTACCGTTTACTTTTATTGGAAACCCTACTTCTTATTAGGGGTGATAAAATGAGCCCCTCTCCTCGTTTTTTCCTGAATAACTCGGGTAAATAGTGGCGGATAGCAGCGAAGCGTTCAGTGCCGTGAGTTATTTTTCTCACCATAAGTAAATAAATACCCATGCGGTCAGGAGCCAGGATAAGTTCAGGCCATCTGCAATTAAACGTTTACACCTACCCTGAAAATTGCATGACCCTGACCAAAATGACCTTTGGTCTGTGACCAGTTTTTAGAGCTCATTACAGGCCAGAATGGGCATGCGGCGTGTCAGGTCTCATTAACCGTTCGTTTCTAGACTTGTGATTAGAAACGTCCCAACATGTGAAATTGTGTTTGGTCCCTTGTGTCTTATTTGGCCGGGACCAGCGCAGGAACTTGGCCGGTGCCTTCAGGGCTGCTTAACTACACATTTGCCGATCTGCGGAGCGCATGGAGACGATCTAGCCAGGTTGAAAACCATTCGGAATGACATTGCGGCACAGCTAATCTTCAAGGTTTCCGCGACTCTAGAATATCTGCTGTTACGCTGCCGGTTTCCGGTCACATTACCTAAAGGCGAGGTCACTAGCGATGGAAATGGAAACACGTTGAGCAGGCTAGTGAGAAGGATTCAGAGAAGATGAGAAGCAATTTCAAAGTTCTCTATCTGGTCGTGTAGAGGAAAGATGGCGCTACAAAACTGCAAACTGGGATTTTCGAACTTGTGAGATTTTGACCCCCCAAATAAAAAATTGGTCTGTTACAAAATAGCAAAAACCCCAAACGTTTTTTGGATTAAAAAAAATGGAATATAATAACTAGAACAAACATGGAATATAATTAAAGAACATGGAATATAATAGTTCCTGATTTCTTCGATCTACCTAACAAATTGTAGATCGATACCTCCTTTTTTGGCCAAGTTTTAGCGAAAAAAAAACTGTTCGAAATTGGTGACGTCAATTTTTAACTCAATTTTTAGCAATTCTAGACCACGTAGCGCAAAACAAAGACCACCACATTAGCCTTCCCGTGACGAGCTGCATCGAATCGATACCCATTTTATGCAAAAATATCAAATTGAAAATTTGACCAAATTTGACCTGACCTTTACCTGACCTTCACCAGAACATAACCTAAACTGGCCCCAAAGGTTGCCTGACCCAGATAATCGCATTTGTCATGTAAAATGAACCAGAAAACATGCATCACATAATAGTTATTTTCATATTGTGACCCTCAGTGACCTGACCTCTGTGACCTGACCTGGTATCAGTGACCCCAAATTGCAAAATATGTGTTTGACGAACAATTCCCCATCGAAAATTGTCATTCATCGATTGCTTATCGATAAATGGCATGCATTTTACTCGATTTTAAAACATATTTCCTGAAATGCCTGTAAACGGTGAAAATTCGACATTTGACCTGACCTGTGACGTCATCGGTTTGACTGAGGTCAATGAAATTGAGCCAAAAGGTATTTCCTCGTTGGGGCCATCCAACACAGTTTGCTGCTTGTCGCTATTTTGCGTGGTTCTCGAGATCTTGGGGGGGGCAAATCCCCCCCCCCAATGGGACCGATGCTTGGTAGACCTTAACGGGGCGCGGGTTAAATGACAGAACTGTTCCCAAGAAATAACACTACAGTCGTCTCCCGGCCTCAATGGTAAGCGGCTAAAACTTTGAACGACTACCTATGAATCGGCACGCTGCAGGCTCACTCCGCCCGCCGCTGGCTACGGGTGGCCTTGACCGTCCAATGCCGATTGGCCAACGGCCGAGGTCGTGCGCTGGTCAGCACGCAGAGAGGACGGGACGCGGTACTGCACATTGTGAGTGACCTCTGACCTTTCCCCGTCCCCTGGCCGCATGCCGTGTCGCCGGCCCAGACGACAGAAACCGGTTCTAGCCTCTACGCAGGCTGCAACTCTGACCCTTCCCTCCCCACTTTACTATGTGTCGTAGTACGCACTCGCGAGTAACTGGGCGGAGCGAATGGTCACCGATACAGAGGCGGAACTGGTTGCCCTCCCGCTCGCCGAGCCACCTACCGCTAAAACCCGCGAGACCTGTACCTACATATATATGAAATAGGTATATATCACTACCAGCCGTCCTGACAATTAAAAATTCCTTTTTCAATCTCATCTTGGTAGGCATAATCCAAAAAAAAAAGTTTGGTGGACAAACGATATCTTACGCTTTATTGCAGAGAAGGTTTACCGATCCTCGACCACTTACCAGGGGGTGCGCCTTTAGCTGACGCAGGTGGGGGACGCTCCTTTTGGTCCTGGCAGCTGAGAGGCCGCGGTGAACAAAATGGAACTCGTGAGGCGACCCGAGAACCTGAGGGGAGGAAGGAGAGTCTGTCAGTTGGGGATGAGACAGACGCACATATAGATAGATAGATAGATAGATAAGCTTTATTTCAGACTCTGGGTCCATACTCTTAAATACTGATGATTTCAGCCAGTTCAGTGGCAAGACAACCATATGTTACACAAACCAGACACAAACAATCATTCTGGCCTGTTTCAGCACTCGCGCAGAGCTATGTGCTAAAATGAACGTACAGTTGCTGTTGCCAGTGGCGCCTCAGGCGAGAACGGTATTTTACACTCGAATTTTCATATATAATTTTCATATTTCATATATAATCAGGGAGGAAGAGAGGGAAGGAAGAAGGAGAGAGAAAGAGAGAGAAAGAAAAAAGTAACGAGAGGGATAGGGAGAGAGAGTGAGAGAGAGAGAGAGAGAGAGAGAGAGAGAGAGAGAGAGAGAGAGAGAGAGAGAGAGAGAGAGAGAGAGAGAGAGAGAGAGAGAGAGAGAGAGAGAGAGAGAGAGAGAGAGAGAGAGAGAGAGAGAGATAAGGTTGATAAATAGACGCAGAGAAAACATGTATAACATATACACAAAGTCAAGATGATGTTCTTTTGAATATCTCCTAGTGTGAACACTGCACTTGCACTATTTTTTTGGCACAGTGAATACCAATTATGTCAGATCGTCTTCAGAAAACAATATGAGACACCCAGACAGTCTCAGAACCCAGCAGACTGCCCTACCATACCATTCCTTTAGATTTCTGGCAGTGAGCCAGCCGCAGACCGGTTTCAGTCCGGCTGGCGGCTGCCGACCGGGACATTCCTCCCAGACCGCGACGGCGACAGTTATTGACTGGGCACTGGCGGTGCAAACTTCGTTCCATGGTTAATTGACGTCACCGGGCTTTGTCACTACCAATCATATGCGACAGACTGGCCCAGCGCGCGGCTGCCGCCGAAGATAAAGCGGTCAACGTGACAGAATTGGACGCGTCCATGCCCATTGATGTCGACTCGTCATACAAAACGCGTTCCGAGTTGGTGGCTGACTTAGCCATGCCTGCATGCATTAGTTTATATCATTTAGTTATGCATTATTAGTTCTTCTAAAATTGATATCGAATGAAGATAACTGAATTACTCATAAATGAATAAATTCAAAATAAACATACATATTTGTATTGATATGCATTACGCAGTGTACTGCAGCGGCAAATAAAATTCTGATATATAAACACGTATAAAATATTGCCTTTTATGAAGTTCCTACTACAAATTTAATATGGACTGCTATGCTTTGACCGTGGAACTATGTCGCTTTACCACTTTTCCACATTTAAAACCATTACAGCTGTTTCACCTGAACAGCTAGTAACTTTTTGCTAAGTCGTCAAGGGGTCAGCTTCAACTTGATCCACCAAGTGTGAACTAATTGTGTGTAACAGTTGAAATATACATATTTGGGAAAGCTACTCATACGTACATATCTTTAACGGTTGATTGGCATTTCAGTTCACTTTAGGGCTGCTCAAACTTGGGAAATCATTTTTCTTTGTACTCTCTTATACTGAAATAGCTTACCTGTATGAGTAATAATTCCAAAGATAGCTTTAATCGATGTTCTATTCTCATTAAGGTCCATGTTTTTTTTTTATTTTTCGAACTCGCCATTATCATTGCCACACCAATGCACAGATGATAGAATCAATAAATGTATTAGGTATGCATTCACAGTCCATAGCTCTCTACAAGCACACCATTTAGGAGAGCCTAGCTTGAATTGTTACATACCCGGAGAGGGGGAGAGGAACATTCAGCTCAGCAAGTGCACCTTTTTACGAGCCACCCCTGTCTTCATCACAGTCCCTGACTGGCAAATAGCTCGGAATCGGCTTGGGCCCGGTGTTCTATCTTGTATCAGAAGGGTACTGTTGTGCGATACAGTGCTCAGCTCCTGTGCCAAGAATCGAGAACATGAGGGTGCAGACTGTCGTCACAACTCGCTTTCAAGATATACTTCAGATATCTCTGACACTGTAAATACGATTTTAGTCTTCAAAGGACTAGAACTGTTTGTGTCCGCCACATTAACCTTACTGTGTTTGAGCTGCTCTTCAGGTCAGCAAGGAGCATTTTGAAGCATTCTTCTACATTCTTAACACAGATGGTGGTGACGTCTTTATAGCCAAAAGGACGAGAAAAGAAAAAACTTGGCGTCAAAGCGAATTTAAGATTAGAGAAAGGCATAGCTGTTAGCACGAGTTTATATTACGCCGTCTTGCACCTGAAGAGAACCCTCTGAATCTGAGATAGCAATTTTAACGGGATCGGCCATGCCAGTGACCCTTGCGCGGTCAAGTTTAAGCGGTGGGTTTGTCCCCGCTTCCACCTTATTGCGCACTAAGCTCTTTTCAGATGTTATTTGGGCATACGATAGCCCCAAAAATTCGAATAGGGACAAAGGTTTAATGGTATAAGCTGCACCCGTCGCTAGAATGGCGCGCTCTTACACAGTTCGGCTTTATTCTGAATGTCTATCCGCTGATATACATACAAGAACTCTTGAATCTAAAATAAGATGCGCAATGTCCCAGCTAGGGTAAACTCTCATGAGTTGTTTTGTTTCGGGCGAACTCACTCTAACATCAGCAACGCTCTTGAGGTGGCAATTTGCGAAACTCATAATTGGAAGCTAATTTTGCTGCAGATGCAAGCATGCCACCCAACAGATGCACACATGCCAAGCATATGGAGTGAGGGCGCATGGCTTGTCCTCTGACCGGTTCGATTAGAATTAGAAGCAAAAGCGGCTTCGAGAGGTTGGCATTCATTTACTCGCTAGCCTGAGCAGTGAGCAGGCTCGGCCTGGCCGGGCTGCGAGCGGCCGCCTGCCAGCAGAGGGATAGGCTGTGACGCAAGGCAGCTGTGTGATGCGGTACAGCCTACCTATGCAGTCGACCAGTCGCCCGCCCTTTGAGCTGGGATCAGCTGTGCACTGTGCACTGTTCAGTGATCGCTGCCCTTTGAGCTGGGATCGGCTGTGCAGTGTGCACTGTTCAGTGATCGCTGATCAGCCTGCGGTTTCGCAGACAGGTATTTCACGCTTGTTTTATGATAGGACCAACTCAGAGAAATTAGGGTCTTCTACGAGTATGATTCAATGCGGAATCAAGGGGAAACGACGGAAGCGTAGTTTCAGTTTGCTAGTACCTATCCTAACCTTTATGGGCTGTAAATGCTATAAATGCTGATGAGATGGTATGTCATCAAAGCTTGAGCACATCATCGGGAAAATTATTTGATGATAGGAGTTAGCTCTAAAGTATGCGCATAACCAAGAAAGTAATCTAAAATTAATCAGCCCTATAAGTTATTTGCCAAAGTTGGCTTCAGGCGTCACCACACGACCTGAGCTCGCTGTTACACGGTTGGCTGCTTCAATAGTGAATATTGCGCATTTTACATAGCATGTGGCTACCTAAGTTGCTGATTGTGTTCTTTGAAGGCACTTATTTTGTAAGTTGATCGGGAGCTATCACAAGTCAATATATCATTATGCTCATTGCATCCTGCGTGAACAAAAAAAAAAAAACGGAACTTTGTGTGCTGTCTGAAATTAAAGAAATCTCCTTCTTCCACTAACGCTCTAATCTGAGATCCAATCGTGAAATTAAGCATACGTTCCCATAGGCGGCGGAACGGGGAGGGCACCGGGGCACCGTGCCCCCCTTTGATTTTGGTATTTTAACATTAGCCCTATGGGCGTTGCATGGAAAGAATGGGACCAAAAGTCGGCAGTGCCCCCCTCCCCCCTTAATCGAAGGTGTTCCGCCGCTACTGTACGTTCCAGTGATGTGCTAAAAAATATCGATTTTGTGAGCGTCCCTACTCCCTAGTCCCTACCAACTGCACCACAAGGGTGGTGTGAGATTCCGCTCCTGTTTCTGTGCAATATGACAAAACGCTTATTGGGCTTGGTGTTTTTCATCTATTAACAAGTCAAATTTTCTCGAAATTCGGACGCTGTGGTTAGGACATTTGTCCCTGACGCTCCTACATCCTTCAGTGGCACTATAGTGAAGGCGAAGCACTGTAATAGATACCAAGCAATCTCATTGGTTCATCTGAAAATGTGCAGCTTTGCATTACCTCGCTGTAGGTACTTGCCATATTTTCTTGCTATAGCGTGCAGTGGAGGACCTGAAACGAGACTGATTGCAAAACTTTGGCACTTTTAATTACTATATTTAATCGTTCAGGCATGGGGTATCAGGAAAGGAATACAAACATTAGGTAGCATTCTTTATTGCAATAAAATACCGGGGCACCGTGCCCCCTTTGATTTTGGCATTTTAACATTAACTATGAGCGTTGCATGGAAAGAATGGGACGAAAAGTCGATTAATTATTTTTAAGTCGATTAAAAGCCCATTAATTAAAGGTATTCCGCCGCTACTGAGCAGTGAGCATCCCAACTCATAATGGAACAGTAGTTGAAAATTATTCCGATCCCGGGCCATTCTTACCATCCTAAGCACGATGCACAATGCATGCAGCATATGCCCCACATTTTCGATTTATCTGAAAATTCTTGCTTTGGCCGTCATGCAGCTTAAGGTATCCGTTGGGACAAGATGAACCGATCCTTTTTGATACAAGCAGTGTGTTTTCTTTTCGAGCAGATCCTGCATCTTTCAAAGATAACAACTCTGAGTTACCTACCTACATGAGGTTATCTTGTATTCATCAAAACGCAATACTCTTTCTTCATCTCACTTGGCTTTTGGTTTCATCAGCGGATTGATCATCATCATTGAGCAAATCTATTCCATTTGCAGTTCGCTGCTTCACCACATTTCATGTATCAGCATTTCATTGTTTTGCACAAGTTCAATTTTGCATATTGCGACTATTCCAGGGTAATCGCAGTTCGCACCCCCATATTCAAAGAACATAAGGCAAAGGTCACCAGTCATTAACCCTCATTAGATATATTACGCGCGACGAAAATTTCTACGAACTGCTTATAGCACTTTGATAGAGATGCCAATTGACCGCCGAATAGTGAAGGCCATTAACGTTTGCAAAACGCTCAAATACCTACAAATTGAAGCATTTTGAAAACAAAAAAATTGGCATTGTGGATGAACGATCAAACTACCACTCCGCGTTTCTAAGGTTATAAGGTTCATAAGGTTCTCCGCGTTCATAAGGATCACAGCCCACCAGTTTCGTTATAGAAGCCACACAGCTGTCACTGTTATTGACTTTACGACCTTTGCTACCCTCAGACCCTGGTGCTCTAGCGCGTGGGGGAGTCCGCGGGGATGCGGGCGGCAACATATGGCGGTGGTAGGTTACCCAATACCACTCCCACCGCTGTCAGCAGCACTCACCGAGCCGAGGTTTTCGAATCCGGAGCGTTTGGCGATCTCGTGTGCCTTGTCGGCGCCGTGCGGCCCCTTGAGCTGCACGTAGAAGGTGTTTGTGAACACCTCCTTGGCCGGCTGGACGGCCGGCGGGCCCAGCAGCATGGTGAGCAGCAGGCCGGCCAGCGGCGCGCAGGCGGCTCGCCGCCGCACCATGGCCGCCTTCTGTGCGGGCCGGGCGGACACGGTCTCACACGGCCGGCCGCCGACACAGGAAGATGGCGCCGCGCCCCACTCCGTTCTGCCGCCGCCGGCTATGGATCCGCGCCGCGCCGAACGGGTCGTGACGTCACACATGACGTCACACCGATCGAACTGCGCGCCGCCGGCGGCGCGCCGGCCGTCGGCGACCTCAGGGTGCCGGACGCGACCGCAACAGGTCACCCTAATGAGACGCAGAGAAACGGGACACGCCGCGCGGGGAGACGCAGAAGGAGACAGACGGGGATGGCGAGCGCCGCCGGGCTGGAGGTACGACACCGGCCTCCACCAGGCTCGGCCCGACGGCGCAGGGATAGAATGATGACAGATATCGGTTGCATTCATTTAGAATCGGTCGAGAATCACCAGACATGATGGGATACGATATCTGACGATCATGCCGGCTATTATGTTCATTTACGTGCATTATCCCAATTCGTGGGGGCATATGGAGGTACAATTTCTCCCATCACAGTTTTCATTGTGTTATTAGTCAGAAATTCAAGGGCAGCCGGCAATGTAGCTCTTATTAAGGGCATTCGTAAAACACGAGGTTACAGACCTCTTCAGCTATTCAACACAGTGGGCAAAATATGGATAGGCAAGAATATTCGCAGGTTCCCAAAGTAGCTATGAGAGAGATTCGGAATCACTGTGTCGTAATCTGCGCAACATCATTTCAGATGCGTCTTGCCCTTTACTTGTCATTCAAAGTCTGGTTGAGTCACTTAAAGTTTCCGTTTTTCAATCATTATCTATTACATTGTCTCGAAGATTGGGCTGCCTTTATAAATTTAAATGCGACAAAAAATAATTTCATGTGACAGCCCAGATTCAGGACCATGCTATTAGGTCCCAATTCCCAAAGCAGCGCTCGCCAAAATTTAACGACTCTGGAAAGTGGAAACTAAGCTCCGACGGCCCGGCGCTATGGCACTTCCAGGGCTGGGCATGAATGTCAATCGGCGACGGCCGGCGCAGCTGCCGCTCCCCAAAGGGCGCCGGGTGATGACCGGCCGCGCTGAGCCAGCCCGGAGACCCGGCTCCCCGCACTTCATCACGTAGGTATGCGGTTTCCGATGGACCGTCGCCAAAGTCGCATTATGTATGCATTAACAGAAATCTGCGTCATTTAAATGCATCGATTCTGTCTATTTCTTATCCGACATCATGCAAGATCTCCATTTCCTAATTTTACGCGTCTTGTTGCTCGGTTTTCCACCGCACTTGAAACGGCATCCGCTGCGATGAGATAGAATGATGGATTCGAAAGGTCATCAAACTTCACTGAGCTATCATTACTGATGGAATTACCATGCAAAACTTTGCAGTTCGACGACATATAAACATAATCCTTTGGGGGTTATCTCCCTTCTTATCCACGGCTGGGACCACCTGTGGCTGCGGGCTCGTCCAAATCGGCATTAGCTGACATGTGGTGATACTTTTTAGGTACCCAACATCGATTTCCTTCTATTTGCGGTAATGAAGCATGATTGTAATACCACTCTAGGCATTATACTCATGCAATCATGCAATCATACAAGCATGTAGGCATATCAAGTAACGAAACGAAGTACGAACAGATTTTAGCTGAGCCTTTTCGCAGGCATATTTTATAACTATTTGTAAAGGAATACGGAACCTGCTCGTTATAAAGACTATCACATTTGTCTCTGAATGGATACGACGTTCGTATAATCACAAGACGAATTGGACATGCGGGCTTGAGCATTTAACGAACCAGAGACTAAATGGTTATTGAACGAGAATAGCATGGGTACCAAATTAGGCGGAAGAGTAGGATCACAGCCAATCAGGCCTCTGTAAAACATGCAAGTAAGGCTCATCCTTAGGAATAGCGGCTGATAAAACGTTTGCAATATGAAAATAATGACTGATCATTGGCATGGGCGAATATGCAACAGAAATAACTGCGTACCTGACGTGGCGAAAACGCCCAACTTTGCACCGATTTGGGGGTATCAAGAAAAAGCAGCTATACGTCGTATTGTGTTGTACCTATTGTATTGAACAATCATGAGCGATCCACATTCTCAAAGTGCGTGGCGATTACTGCGATTACTGCCCGTCATTACGAGAAGCCCAAGAAGACAGCGTATCCAAGTAACGGCAAACAATCAGTTTCAAGTCAAACTTATGTTGAATGCCATGTCTTCTCCACTTAGCCATGTAGATTTATTAGTCGTAAAGGAAGGTTCGTCACGGAATATCGTTTGTCAGAAATGTGTGTAACGTGTCATCTCAAACAAAGAGTTTGGTGCTAAGCTAAAAAGCTGGGCTATTGAGAGCGACTTGTATCGAAGCCGGCCCAACATGACCTCACTCTGGTGACATCTTCGGCCAACCCATGGTAGCTACGAATTTCTTTTGGACCCAGGGTGTCAAGTTGATGTAGTCGAGGGTAATGGAAGTTTCGCACCGATACGTTCAGCGGTTTTGAAGATATTGCAGAAAGACGTGAGAGGAGTGGCCTTGTAAGTGAAGAGCCTCCCCCAGTTATGCACGGGTCAAGAAACTTCAGTCATTGGAATGTCAATGCTAGCGGTATTCCGCAGTACGAGGATATATGGTAGGTATGCACGTTTAATTCCTCCGTAACACTCAATCAATTTCGTTCGACATTTCACCACATTTTTTACACTTCACTGTGTCTGCAACCTGCAAAAAAACATCTTGCGTAAGATTAACCCTCGCATGTGTGCGGCGTTTGCCAGCTTCTAATGCGTGGGGGGGGGGGGGTCGGTTGGACCCCCCCTTGCCGTTTGGCCCCTGATCGAGCTAGAGCTTCGCGAAAAAAACGAGCGTGTTGCCGGTGACGAGAGGAATCCGATGATAACAAATTTTAAGGTCCTAGGTCATTGCTTGACCTTCCAGGTCAGGTCAATGACCCAAAAACCGGGAAAATCGGGACCTATTAGAAAGTCGTAAAGTGTGGCTGCTAAGGGGTTTTTCGGGGTGCTGATCACGAATATCGTGTTAGCTTTGATCACAGATGATGTCTTTAACCCTCGCCCGTAAACGGCGATCTGCCACCTTCGCCCATGCAGGGGGGGGTTGGTGCGACCCCCCCCCCCCTTGGCGTTTGAAAACGGAGCGTCGTAGAGCTTAGCGGAAAAGACCAACGGATTGCTCTCGCCGAGATCTCGCGATTGGTGGTATATTTTTTGGTCCTAGGCCAACATTTGACCTACTTTTGACCGGTCAAAGGTCAAATTTTCGGAAAAATAGACTTTTTTCAACTTTCCGCGGCGATTGCGGCAAAACGGTGGGAGATATCGACTTGAAACCTTCACTATCGTGTTCCTTGATCAATTCTCTATCGTTTGGTATGTATTTCGTTTCCCTAGCTCTAAAAATGGCGCGTTGGGAGCGCCGGAAGTCGGCAAGGTCACAGTCGGCGGCAGAAATTCGAAAAATCAAAATTTAAATTTTTGAAATCTGATTGTATTTTTGGATTTGGGAGGTCCATTTGCTCCCTATAGAAGCTAATATTGCTGCATATTCCCATTGAGGTGACAAGAATTAGCAAAATAGTGGTTCGGGCGCTTTTCAAAAATAGTACCGGACGCTGTTCCTCTTGTGACGTCATAGCTCCGTGACCTGACCTGACCCGGTCAAGTTTCTTATACCATATGATAGCCAATACTTGCCCCAACATGCATGGGAAGTTTCATCACGATCCATCAACCGATGTCCGTACCACCGGCAGGAAACCTCGGGCGTTGGCACTCAGTTTGTGAAAATCCGGCCGGAGGCTGTTCCCTTTGTGACGTCATAACTCATAACTCCGTGACCTGACATGACCCGGTCAATTTTTGTTTATCAAAAGATGCGCAAGGTTTGCCCCATAAGGTACCCAAAATTTGGCGGCGCTGCGCGCCGCCGTTTTTGCACTATTTCCGAAAAACCTCAGGGGGGGGTTGCACCAACCCCCCCCCCTACATGGGCGAGGGTTAAGCATTTAGACCAGGTCGGGTCAGGTCAGGTCAGGTCAACCAGTAGGCGTCGTGACGGGTATTCGTAGTACGTGTCAACCGCCTCTGACAGCTTCGTAACATGTTACGAATGCACCAAAACTACTTCGTAAATGTTCAAATGGTTGCTAAATTCGAATTCAGCTCGAAAAACTGGCCTAGAAACATGTAAAACTCTAAAAAGTGAACCGAGGTCACCCGAGGTCACCAAAGGTCAATGACCTGACCTGACCTTCAGGTGACCTTGGCACCCACCCTAATGCATGGGAGCAACATCAAATCACATGTTTGAACGTTTGAAACCACGAAAAGCTTGCAAACGCGCGGCTAATGCGAGCCGACATACGCGGAATCGCGATTCCGGCCAAACATGGTCTCGGAAAAGAGGTCACAGGTCAAAGGTCATTTGGGTCAGGGTCATGAAATTTTCAGGGTAGGTGTAAAATTGATCAATGCGAGGGTACTGAAAGTTTCGTCGCGATCGGCCGCGTTCTACGCGAGTTATTCGCGAAAAACCATGGGGGGGGGTCCATCCGACCCCCCTACACATGCGAGGGTTAAAAAATCGCTAACAATTCTATCGAACCAACACGGAAGGTGGGTATAGGCACAGCAATAATACCAGACATGTTGTACAGAGTTCATTGGCATGTTATTGGAGCCAGTGACGCCTTGCAAGGCGACGCCTCGCCTTTCAATATACGAGGTGTGGCTAAAAAGAAACCGGACTGCTCGTGCTGGCCATAAACTAGGGGACCCGAAGACTAGCGAGACACTTGGCATTAATCTTTAGCATATTGTCGTGATGTGTGCCAAACGGCATCTCGATATCGTAATTATTCTCCTTTCCACAGCTCTTTGTTTTATCGATGTTCGGCGGCCTTGTCATCGCCAGGCTTCTAAAATGAACTTCGAAAAAAGAGGGAACATCACGTTCCTTGCCAGAGTGGAGAAAAGTCCAACAGAGACGCTGAATCTGTTCAAGGCTGTTAATGGGGAGCAAGTCATGTGTAACATGCAAGTGTTTGAATGGCATAC